TTTCTTTGTCTTGTTTCTTTTAACATGGTTTAAAAGTGTATATAAATAGGAAAGTGGCAATTGAGAATGACTTAGTGCATGAAATAGGAATGAGAGAAGAACAAAATAAGGGATACTAAATCCCCATATCCCCACTATATGGGAATTTATAGAAGCAGGAAAATTTTGTCAGTTTATCACAAAAAAGAGGAATACTGTCCATATTAGTCATTATGGCAAGCACCAGTAAGGATGCCCACTAGAAGGGGTTTAAAAGTGCTGTAACTTTGTTATAAAAGCACATATCTATCTCGCTATCATGATAAACTATTCCAAATAGGCCTGGTTCTCATGGAGGCATCAAACCTGTCTCTGGAGTATCACACTTCAGTTCACTGGAAACATCTCGGGGATTGGTCTCTTGCCATAAAGAATAAATCCCCCTGCACAGAATTCAAACATTTCATTAATCAGGACTCTATTGTGCTGTTCCCGGTAACATTTTAATTGTAAATCCACCTTTGTGTGAGGCTCCATAGAAGGAGAAAAGACCAAATATGAGATGGATTGATTCAGTCAAGGAAGCCACAGTGTTGTAATTAGAAGAGCTGTGTGGGGTTGTCGTAGACAAGATATTCTGGAGGGCTTTCATTCATAGGGTTGTCATAAGTCAGGGACAACTCGACGGCACAGAACAACAATAACTATAGAAGCATTATGAACATCAGCCTATACGGTCGTATCCCAGATCCAAGTTTATCATAATAGAGTTCCGACCCTTGCTTAAAATCTTCCGGGATTTTATTATATGATATGAAAAGAAATACAAAGAGCTTCATGTTCATTTGTGTTACAGTTTCATATATGAGAAGAAGAACGTAAGTAGCCTTTTGTAGGTACCATTCTTGATGTCATTCGGATTCTGAAAATGAAATAGCCCCCATTGATTATGTTTCTTAATGCCTCTTTTGATGGAGCATGAATAGTGGTGATGCTTTTATGCCTTTATGTGCAAACCACAAAAGAACATAACGTTTACCTCTGTGGGGGAGGCATGCATATACTTTTCAGCTGTTAATCCATTGGCATCATCAAAGTTTAAGGCCTGGGATAAGATAAACAGAAAGAAGAATATTGAAACCTTTTATGAGCCTCCCCTGCTATTTAACAGGTTTCTTGTTATATTGTATTCTCACACTTTAGCTGCATGAGAAGACATTTCTGGGGTTGAAGCTAAAGTGGCGTCCTATGTCTGGCTAAGAGAGTCCATCCCCTTGTATTTATTGTTGTATTAATAACTGAACTATTGTAAGTTACACAGAGAGCTTGGACCAGTAGGTAGTATAGAAGTAAAAAAAACATACATACATACATACATATAGATGCCACCTTAATGGCTGAAATGGCATCAAGGCTTTCCAGTGGAGCTATGAGAAAAGCTGAAGTGGGTAGGGCTAAATCAGAAGCTGGAGGGGCTTAGAATGTTTTCGTATTTTACCTTAAAGCTGTTGTGTCCGTAACTCAGCTTTAGGAAGGGAATTCACACTGTTATTTATTTAGTATCAGAAGCTTTTATATATTGTTCAATCAGCCATAGGCTCTCTGAATGGTGTACAGTCAGAAAAAAGAACATAAAAACATTACATCTGAACAATAGATCTTTTTTTCCTGCAGGGAAATGATGTCCGGATCATCCTTGGCCAGTTCAATGAGGAAATGGCTGCAAAAGTATTCTGCTGTGTAAGTAGAAAAAGATAAAAGAACGGAGTATTCCATGCTGACTTCATTGGCCAAATTAATTTTTTCTCAGCAAGTTCACATTCTTAACAACAATTCACAAATTTGGGAACATGATTTGAATAGTGTTAACTCTTGCAGAAGGTCTGCATGGTTCTATGCTTTGCCATGCCGAGCTGATGGATTTTAACTTAGATTGCGTATGAAGTGCAAAGGTTATATTAAGTTAAATTAAATCTATGTAAATGCTATTTTGTTTTATCTTTTATTTGAGAGATCCAGTATTAGCCCGAAGTAGTATTTCCAAATTTTCATCAATCTTAACCTAATCTTAAAACCAGAAAAAATCAGTGCACATATTAAAATCAATGCAAGTGTCTTCATGAGATGCAATTTTATGCTTGTTAGAAGTATACAAGTGCATTTAGTTCCATGGGATTTATTCCTGAATCTGGCAGAGGAATCCTAATTAGCTGTATCTTAGCAGGTTTTTTATGGTTATACCCACTAATGAGACTATATACCTGTGTGGAACACAATTGATATTAATAAGAACAAGTTCATTTGAATAAATTATTCAGTTGTTTTATTGTAACGCAAATGTAAATACTTGTTTAAACTGAGCTTTTTCAATTGGTGATCTAAATTGGCCTATTTTTTCCAAGTTTATTGTATAAACCCTTACGTCATGGAGAACCTTACTGCTAAGTAAGTGTTCGTGGGTTTGCACAGTGACCTGTAACTGCTGTATCACTTGTGCAGTAGCTGCTTTTCTCCCATGTACCTTGTTGAGTTGTCTTTTGCCTTTTGCGTTTTTATCATTCTCTAATTTTGCAATTCAATTCTGTCTCATGATTTGGCAGGTAAATCTTCGTCAAACATGTGGCAAAATGGCAGCTTGACACAAATCAGTCGGTGCTGTATGTTGAAGAGGCAAATTAACATGATAAGCTGTTAATACGAGCATGTAGACTATCTCAGAATTCAAACTTTTTAAAACTTTTTGTAATTTGCTATGGATACTCTGATGAAAACATATAAAAAATCATTTGATGTATGCACATACCTAAGCAGATAAAGTATTTTAAACGGCAGTCCTACTTTGCTCTTATCTGCACAACTCCTGTGAGTTGAACATTACGCCCATTGGTGTGGTGGGACTTCTCTTCAGATACCTACATGCTGTTCTGCTTAGCAGCTTTGTGTTTAGTCACTGCTTAATGGGAGAAACCCGGGGACTCCGTCCATGAACCGAGTAAACAAATAAAATATTGCTGCTTTTGGGGGTGACCGGTGTCACCTAAGTGTTGCACTTAAAAGCAGTATGCTTCAGGAGGGGTTGTTGGTTGCCGGAAGGTGAGCCATGGACTCCCAGGAGGACCTCGACTGGAAATACATGGCCAGACCATGAGGTAGCATGCTGGGTGAGGAGTCGGTACGGGGAGGGTAGAGGAATTGACTGCCGTCCAACAGCAACAGGTCAGTTGCTCATGCGTGGCTTGCTGCTCTCTGCAGCTTTACAGGTGTGTTTCTTCCTGAGTTAGGTGACAGCCAAGCTTAGAAGCTGTGGCTCACTGTTCCCCAGCAAAGTAATTTGCACGTGTTCCATCATTCTTTCTCCACCAATAACATGGCTTCCCTTTTTATATTTCCACTGTAGGCATTTAATGAAAAGATGTTCGGCCCCAAATATCAGTGGATCATTCCTGGGTGGTATCAGAGCTACTGGTGGGAGAAAGCGATTCCAAAGCTTAATTCATCACACTGCCTTGGTATAAACCTTCTTGGTGCCATGGAAGGTTACATTGGAGTGGATTTTGAACCTCTAAGTTCTAAACAGATAAAAACGATTTCTGGAAGGGTGAGTTAGTTTCCTTTCTACCATTTGGGGCATCGTCCTCAGAATGGGTTGTCTGTTTGCCAGCAAATTATCAGTTGCATGCAGCAAGTCTGTTCCTGATTTCTTATCACAACACGTTTCCAGTTCAATACTAAACCTTGATATTGCCACACAAAAATAGCACTTATAAGAGGGCACAGTTCCTCAAATGGAGCTTTCAGGGACTTGATATTTTCACAGAAAATTGGGAGATAGCATCAAGGGGCATGTGGAACAAAAGAGAACAAAAATGAAACACATTACATTCACATAAAAGATAGCTGCATTTTTGGTAGAGCTAGCTAATAGTTTTCTGCCACCAGTTCTGGCTGGTTGGGAGCATCCTAAGTAACTGGAGAAAAGACGGCGTGCTATTCTCTGAAAGTGAACTCTTTGCATTCTTGTCAGGTGTACCTCATTCTCCCCACCCTTCACCCTTGGGAAAAGATGTAGTAAACAGTGGAAGATGGCTATGCATGGTACTGATTGGCATTGAAGTCAAATATCTCTCCCCCTCTTCAGAGAAAAAGTCCAAAATGGGTCGTCCCCCCCCGTAAATAAGGTGCTGAAAGAATTTTTGATTGTATTAGCGTGAAGTGTCACTTCAAATATATTGAAAGAAAAGGGCATCTTACCTGCCTGAAGCTTAGTTGGCATGGGGAGCAAGACAAGGCAACTCTAAGCAGCAGAATTGTTAGAAAGTGTTCTGTCGGATGCCTTGTGAAAGTTGCAAGGAGCTAGGCTTATCCTGAAGAGGGAAAAGCAACAACACAACTATGCTGACTCTTGTTTTTAGGGGTGTGTGTGTATGCACAAGGGGTTGTAGATCCTTTATTAGATCATTTTCTGTTAGTGAACATGAACAATTATTTTGAGCTCCATTTAGCAAATGAATTTCACCATGGTAACAGTGCCCTAAACAACATGATGAAAAACTTAGCTATTTCACACTTAATAGAACAGATATTATTTAGAATCCCAGTGGTGTGCTACTTCAGCAGTTGATGTGAACAGATCATTCAGGCCCTTCTGATGCAAAATTTGGGAACAGGGGAGCAACTTTTGCTACTAGTGGACTCCTCCTTACCAGGGTTTCTCTGTGTTCTTTTCCTTGGGTTGGTAGCCCTTTGGCTGCCTTATACTTTCAAGTGAAATGTTTTTACGTCATGGTTCTATAGAAATAGTTTCTTCTGAAACTATTCTCTGTCTTTCTTGAGAGCCATATCACTCCAAGGAGGCTTCGGTAATTTTAATTCTGCTTCAAGTGCCAAATCGTGAATTGTGAGAACAGACTTTTAGCATAATGACCGATGAATCAGTCTTACATTCTTTCTACAGACACCACAACAGTATGAAGAAGAATATGATCAGAGGCGTGGAAATGTTGAGCCAAGTAAGTTCCATGGCTTCGCTTATGATGGAATATGGGTAATTGCCAAAACGTTGCAACAAGCAATGAAGATACTCAATGCTACCAACAAAAACCAAAAAATTGAGGACTTTAACTACACCAACAAAGAACTTGGAAAAATTTTCCTGGATGCAATGAATCAGACTAGCTTCTTTGGTGTCACGGTAAGTGTTCTCTGATTATTTTTAACTGAAGTCTGCAGTTGTATCTTTACTGGGAAATATTTCAGCTGTTGGTTATTAGCTGTAGAATACCATTGTCCAGCAAATAACATCTAGAAGGTCTTGGAATGTGAAGTTGAACTGGAGAGCTGTAGTTCTGCTGATATCTTATCCTGCGGGAACTTCAGGGGAGATTTGGCCTCCTTCCAGATGATCAGATTAGCAAGTGAACAGCAGAGTTATGGAATTTCTCTCAGGTTTTCAGTGCAGGTTATGGGAGAGATGAGATTCTGCTTTACACTCCTGAATGCAGAATTAGAGGGCCATGCTTCTTCGTCATTAGTTGTTACAATCTGAAAGGGTGTCATGTATGTAGAATTGGGCTGCAGCTTCTGGTCCCTTTCCCAACGTCCTTCTCTGGACTCCCTTTTCAATGACAAGCTTAGCAGTTGACCATCAGGGCCAATTTGTTCTGTTTACTTTAAATGTGCCATTGAACTGGTAAGGATTTGCACCTTAAAAAAACGAAATTGTGATTCATTTGTCATCAGTTGTGTCAAGGAGTCAGTATAAATTACGGCTTCCTGCTAAGTATTGCTTATGTGGCAGATCTGCTTGCTGTTGTTTCTCATATGAAACCCCCCGTGGGGTTAGTCATCCGGCAGCTAGGCCTCCTGTCCTGTCTTGGGAGACTGATCACTCTCTGTTGGCATTTAGGTATCTGTGCTTTTGTGAAGGACCTTGGGGATGAAGGATAATCTTTGGGGTGTTGTGTTCATTCTTCAGTTCTGTTGCTGGACTCTGGTGTGTTGTTCTGTGCATTGTTTAATGTACTTGAATATTACATTTGTGAGCCTCCTTGGAAACTTCCTTCTGTTCCCAAAACCAGTAAAATATATTCATTAATAATAGACTTACATAATAAAATGAAATACTGGAGGCAGTGGAAATGGCCAAGGAACAAATGACCCTGCTTGCAACCATAGTATCTAGAATCACACAGCTTGGTACCATAGTAGTACAAACTTGTATTTGCTCCATGTTTATGACAGCTACCAATTGGAACATCGCGATCAGTATAAGAATTTCTGTGTGGTACAGAGATTACTTATCTTATTGAGGCCATTTTGGATGGTCTCCCCATGGGAAATGTCTGGCCTTACATTTAGCCTCCCTTGTGTTCACACAGACAACTTCACATGATACTGCAAAACTTGAATCTAATATTCAGTGGCTTTAAACATTTCATTCCACAGCCGCTTTATCATCGCAACTTTTGGCAGCACAGGATGGTGCAGCAATAATGGAAGTATTGAAATTTCCTTTCCCTTAAAAGTTGCAGTTTTTAGTAACTGCTAATTCAATTGAAAATGAATTTGCTAATAGAATCTACATTCCTCTAGTAGTTTTTTTCCTCCCACTAAGTCTGGTAATTTTGAAAAATCAAGATAACTGTTAGATTGCCTGTATCTTTAACCTAATTTTACTTGTGAACATGAAATAAATGGATGAGAAATTATGTTGCCCAAGCTGTGCTGAAATCAAGGGAAACTGTAATAGTGAACAGTTGCATCAGGGAAAAGACTACTAACCTTGCTATGCCAATTTCGAATGTCCATGTTTTAAAACATATCTTTGGTGGAGCATTCAGATATTTAATCCTCCTACTGCAGCCTGAAATGGTACATACCAGTATCAGCAGTATAGGGTGAAGTTGTTTTCCCATGTTTTGCCTGTGGGCATTTGGCTCTTCTTGTGATTTTTCTCAGGAAAGTTTTGTAGTCTGAAGACGAGGCATTGATGTTCTTACTCTCAATGAGCTTTATTGCCAATGTTGCCTTTGGTTAGGGATGCTGCTAGATAACCAAGGGAGAAACATTGTTGACCTTGATCCAGGACCTTTTCAACCTCGTGCAATTTATTTTATTATTTTATTTATTTAAAACATTTCTATGCCGCCCCCGTCGCAACAAAGCCTTGGGGAGGCTCAATTAGCTCTGGTCCCATTTTTTGAAGTAGTCAGAGGCCTCGGATGTGCCACCCCTTCCCCATTTTGAAATTATGTGGGCGAGCAGCAAAACTCTCAGCCAATTCAAATGAGAGCAGAACAGTATCAAATCTTCTAGCAGATCTTTTTAGAATGGAGTTGAATGGTTTCACTTATCCTTAATCATCTTGCCAACCACCATCCCAAAGAATTAAGGAAAACTAATAAGGAAAGTGGAGAATCTGTAGTTAATGTTTTCAGCATGTGTTTAGGTTCATCCTGTGATACACCGGGCCTTAAAATAAAGCAAGGGTGAGGAAGCTGTGCCACTCCATGTGTTGCTGTACTTCAGCTCCCATTATCCCTGGTTTTTGGGTGTACTGCTGGGAGTTGGATCCCCACCTCAGGGATGTTCTAATAAATATTCTAATAAATAAATAAAAATAAAATAAAGTCTTACGACGCTAGTAGAACTGTCTGCATTGTAAAATGGCGGGAAGAGTTAAAGTACAAGATGTTCGCCTGCGCAAAATGATTTTCTGGAGAGCCAACCAAATGAAAAACTTAAATATTGAGCAATCCTTACAATAGCTAATGATGAGCTTTGCAAACAGAGAGGCCTGTAAATATTTTATTGGCTTGGCTTCCCGGTTTGGTTCCTTGTAAAGGTCGGTCAGGAAGTGCATCCGTTTTAAAGTGTGTGAGAAGCCTTTTAAATAGCCACATTGATGTACACAATTCCCCAGTGCGTTTCCTTGGCTTGACTTTTTGTCTGTGAGAAAACAACAGGGCTTCTCTGCAGATATGTCTTCACTGGACCGTCTGATCCAGATAGCGTTGTCATACAGCAGGCCTGGCCTAAGAAGAAATTTCCACATGGCGGAGATGCCTGTGGGAACCATTAAGGCAAATACCCAGTCACTCAGAATAATTGCCATGTTCCCCCTGCCCTCCCCATTCGTGTGTTTCAGCTGGGCTCTAGGGAAAAACCTGCAACTAGCAGTAGCCAGGCAAACATGACACAGGGCTTAGATACGTCAGGATGTGGGAGAGCAGTTGTTGACTCTGCCAAGTATGAAGTTGAGCCGGGGTCCAAGCTACATACGATATTTAGTGTGGGGTGGCACTGAGCTTGGGTTGGAAAAACAGAGAATGGAAAAGGAGCTTTGGGGAGCTGAATGAGGATCCCAGGAGGGTGTTCTGATCTTTTCTCCTTGCAGCAGCATCCCAGGGAAAATGGTTTCCCTCCAAGCTTCCACGGCAAAGAGCAGCTGTGTGCAATGCCATGCCTGGATCTTAGTCGGAATCATGGCAGGGAAGGAAGGGATTAAAAAATTCCTGTGCACCATGGCCCCAATCCTGATCCCCCCTCCCCGTGGTTGCTGTTATTATTTGTTAAATCACCAGTTGCAATCATACATTTAGCATAATGTGTCAAGCCATTTAACAATCCCACTTGCCATCTGTGTCTCTGGCAAGGGTTACGGAAGGAGCTTCTAAGTCTGAGCTAGAAAGGGGCAAGCGTTCCAGGCCCCCCCCCCCGCTTCCACTTGTGCTGCGCTCAGAGAAGTCACAAGGCCTGAGTTATCTTCTTCTGAAAATGGTCAACCACAAAAGCAAATCCTGGAGCCAGTGGCAAGTGCCGGCAGCTCCACCCCCAGGGAAAGAATACCTTGTGGAACATTCCAGTGGGAGCACAAAGCAAGAGCTTGTGGCTGAAAACACTATTTGGTGCCAATGCGTTCTTGGCTGAAGAGGGATTGTGTCTCCCCCATCACTAAAAAAAGGTTAGCAGTCTCGTGTGGATCAGCGTGTTAATTCTTCTTCAGCATGTTCGCATAAAGGGCATCGGTTAAAATAAGAGCATCTGGCAACTTCACAGAGTTTTTGCAGTCAGTTTATGATGAAACCTTTTCTAGCCCCCGAGTAATTCCATGATCTGTCCTATCCTTACAGCTAAGGCATTTTGCTAACCAAACATTTGTCCGTGCTTGGATGCTCAAGGACTGCCTGAGGTTCAAGAGCTATTAGGAATTTTCAGAAAGCTTTATAAATTCACTAGGCCTTCTGTGTGTGCTTCTGTTAATGAATGAGAAGCTATTAGCCTGGGAATGCCTTGTGAAATTGTAGGAAAGCAAGCTTGCTTGCTTGCTTGCATGTCACAGCCCATAAAGGAATCTTAATAGCAGGTTGCATATACCGCATTAAAATAGCCTCTGAAAATTTCAGGCTATGCTTAACCAGCAGAAGGTCTTACCTGCAGTCCACTTGATATTTAAGAAATTGGACCAGATAAGGGCTTGTTGATATATTAGATTCTAATGTGTTTACTAATATCTAAAAATATAGATGGTGACAAATGTGTTTGCAGATTTATAAGGGTTCATTTATTAGAGAGCTGAGGTAGGCTGCAGCTCCCTGTTGAGTGTACATTCAGCAGCAAACCTGGGTTTGTTGCTGAGTAATTAATGAAACAGCCCTGAGAGTTCTTATTTTCCAACACTTCCTAGTGTCATAATAAATGGTGTCTGGAACATATTATTGTAGGCTTGTCTTAAATGCCAAATTGCAGCTGTAGAAAGATACTGGCATGAAAGTTTAGATGCACATGGATATCGGGGGTGATGGTGGTGTTTGAAAGATGCATGCTAGGATATTAATCCAAGTTCATCTATGTTGTAACAGAGAAGGACTTAATGTTTGTTGTTGTCCTGTTTGTCAAGTCAACTCCGACTTAACAGCAACCCTTATGAATGAAAAGCCTCCAAAATGTCATATCCATTACAGCCTTGCTCAGCCTTTCCAACTTCAAGTGTATGGCTTCCTTTATGGGGTCAATCCATCTCATATTTGGCCTTACCTCTCTTCTTCTGCCTTCCTACTTCCCCTGGCATGATTGTCTTCTCCAGGGAGTTTGGCCTTCTCATGATGCGCCCCAGGTGTGACAGCCTCAGTTTTATCATTTTTATTTCTAGGGAAAGCTCTGGCTTGATTTGATCTGGGACCCACTCGCTGG